TGCTGGAGAACATCGACCCTACCGCCGCGACCGAGATGCCATAGCTGGCAGTAGATGAACGAGCCCTTCGCGTGAACGGCATCCGTGACCTCTTTCCAGCCGGCGATGTGGGCTTCGTTCCAGATGCCGGGTACGTTCCAGCGGCCGGCGGTGCGGTGGGATATCAGGGTTCCCTCCGAGATGAGCAGTGTGCCGGGCACGCAGGCTCTCTGCTCGTAGTACTCTGAGGGTATGTCAGTTGCGTGCTTGTGGATGAGGGCATTCGCGCTCACCCTTCATCATCGGTGTTGGAGTCCATTCATCATCCGCTCGGTACCGAGTTAACGGCGCCAACGCTAGCCGGTTCCCCAGTTCAATACCCCCGACTTTCAACGGCTTGAACAGTTTCGACATGATTGCGATTGTCGTCTGTTGGACTCAGATGAACTGACAACCAAACAAACAATTGATATTGAATAGCCGCGAGTGAGTGTGTTACCAAGCGATCATTCCATGTCGCCATCGGAGCACTCGTCGGCCAGCGCTACGCCGTAGGGCGCAGGATTCTGTCCCCCGCCACACCACTCGTGCCGATGGATGCCGTCGTCATTCATTCCCCCGCCTCCCTTCCATCACCACCCGTGTCTGCTTCTCAAGAGTTTATCTTAGCACTTACCAACTTTTCATCATGAAGACCAATTTTCGGGCTCCAGCAAGCCAACCTTACATATTCCTACACCCTTAAACCCGTGCAATACCCGGAACAGCCCCCAACGCCCATCGTCCAACTCCGCTGAAACTTCACGTCCACTCACTCACTCCACGGACGCGTATCGGCTCAAAAGATGCCGACAAAGAAACCCGGCCAGGCGATCGGCGAAGGGGGCTGGCGAATCCGCATCGGGCTTCATGCCGACATATCCTTTTAGTGGACCTCCTCGCTTCAGGCGCCGCTCTCTCACTGCCAGTTTCCCACCCTGCTGCAACGGGTTTTCCCCCATTGGCAGGTTTGACGCAATGGACTTTGTGTAAGCAATTGGGCGGCGGCGGTTTGCGGGAGTCGAGACCCGGCGATTCGGCACCGAAAATCTGGAGCACCGTGTTTGGGGATCCTTTTTCCGTCGGTTCTTGATGCTTGGCATTCCTTTCGTTTCTCTATTCACGGAATTTTGGGAGGTTCACGGCATGTCAAGATGAAGGACGACGCGCCCACGACGGGCGTCAAAGGCGCTCTGCCAGAGGGCAGGGGAGCCGGTTCGAGCAGCGACGAGGCTACCGCGCCGTCGCGGACGCCGCCGCCGGCCAAGGACGACAGCGATGCGGAGAGCGTCGGCGGGCAGAGGAACACCATGTCGCGGAAGCGCATGCTGCTGGCGTTCTCTGCGCTGTCGGTGTGCTTGTTTGTTTCTTTTATCGACCAAACCAGCGTCTCGACGGCAGTGCCGGCGATAGCGGGCGACCTCGACACCGGGACGGCGACGTCGTGGATCGGGACGTCGTTCCTCATCGCCTCTACTGCGTTTCAGCTCATCAACGGCCGGCTGTCGGACATCTTTGGGAGGAAGAACCTGCTTATGATTTGTTTGGTTTTCATGGCTGTGGGCGACATTCTTTGCGGATTTTCGAAAACGAAGGAGCAGCTGTTTGCGTTCAGGGCGATTGCGGGTATTGGTGGAGGTGGCATCAATAGTATTGTCATGATTATCGTGAGCGATATCACGACGCTGGAGAATCGGGGGAAGTACCAAGGTTAGTCCGGAAACCTCGCGATAAGAGGGGTGGGATGCTGATGACTGGCAGGTGTTCTCGGAGCCGTCTTGGCGCTCGCCAACGGAGTTGGCCCCTTTGTTGGCGGTGCCGTCGTTCAGGAGTCGACGTGGCGGTGGGTTTTCTGGATGGTTCCGATCATCAGTGCTCCAGCAGCTCTGACGATACTTTTCTGTCTGCCTCTGAAGCATCAACCCGGCAACTACGGCGAGAAGGTGAAGAAGATCGACTACGGCGGCATCGCGCTCAACATGGCTTCGGTCTTGCTGCTACTCATCCCGCTGTCCGGCGGCGGTGTGACTTATCCATGGTCATCACCCTTCGTCATCGCTTCTGTCACCGTCGGCGCTGTTCTGGGAGTCCTCTTCGTCCTGTTTGAGTGGAAACTCGCAAAGCTACCGATCATGCCTCTCCGGCTATTCAAGGACTCGAAGTGCAGCTTCCTGTACGGCCAAACATTCCTCATGGGCCAGGCGTACTTTGGGAACCTGTTCTACTTCCCAATCTATTTCCAGTCAATACTGAAGTACACCCCTCTCGTGGCCGGCGCCCTGATCCTACCGGTCATCATCTCGACCTCGATTCTTTCGATCCTCTCGGGTCAGTACATGCTCCGCATCGGTCGGTACATGCCCTGCATCCTGGTCGGTTTCTTCCTCTGGACAGTCGGCAACGGCTTGACAATCATGTTCGACCGCGACACGGGGCTGGGTAAGCTCATCGGCATTCTCATCATCGTCGGCTCAGGCATCGGCTTGACCCTGCAACCGACGCTGGTGGGAATGTACGCCAACTCACGAAGCGAGGACCGAGCCGTGACCACCGGCTTGCGGAACTTCATCCGCACCATAGGCGGCGCTTTCGGCCTTGTCATCTCGGGCGTCATCTTGTCGAATACGCTGAGGAGGGACTTGCGTGGTCGGGACTTTGTTTCGGATGCGATTATCGCGGAACTCACGTCGTCGACGTACACGCTAGACCAGAAGGGGTTCTCGGAAGACGAGAAGACGGTGATCTTGAAGGCATATATGAAGGGATTGCATTACATCTTCATATACTATGTGGTTTGCTCAGGCCTGAGCTTGGTGCTGACACTGGGTGTTGGGAACACGGGCTTGAAGGCGAAGAAGCCTGCGCCAGCGGCGGAGGCTTTGGAAGATCAAAACGAGCCGGCGATCGCTCAGGTGAACGAAAAGTCGGATGAGAAGAGAATCGGTGCATAACGGAGGTCTTTTTTTCCAGCTGCACAGAGATGTGCGGGCTGCATACAGCGCGAGGCATTGCATCAGCATCGTTCGAAGCACATAGCATTCAACTCCAGGAGAAACTAGACATGATCATAAAGCAGAGTTCTAATCAATACCACGCCACGCGCGCCATTGTCATATCTTTGAAGCTTGTTTGACAGTCAACTTTCTTGACGGAGCGGGCCGGTGATCACTCACTTTCGCCCCGGAAGTTAACTCAGTTGCTCCCATCTCCCGCAACCCACATCCCCGCCACCAAATCCGTCCATCGACATCCGCCCATGTCCAATATTCCTGGGCATTACATCAAGCTGCATGTCCAAAGCTCGCAGCTCGTTATCTTTTACATAAGCCAAAATAAACATTCATCGGCGCCCACGCCGAACCCCACCATCGGCCCTCCGCCTTATCAGCACTCCCTCCATGGGGCATAATCCCCCGAGCTCCAACGGTTCGTTTGAGCCGATGCAACTCCAACAGCTGCCCGACCCCTGCAATGATGCAACCCCCAAGACCCTCGACCGCGACGCGCATCGCGATAACGAGCTGCACGCTCCGTCACACCGATAACGAGAGCTGTGGCGGGGTACGATGTGGAGGGGCAATCGTGCCGGACGCGCATCACGGCTGATAGTGCGCGGTGCGACGGCGATAGGCACAGATGAGCACGCGGGTGAGACATGCCGATGGAAGTGACGTTGCCAGGTATTTGTACGCTGCAGAACGGATGCTCACAGACGTTAAGAATTGAGGTGGATGATTGTTTTCTCTTTTCCATTGACATCGCCACTTGGACCCTGTTTCAGGACATCTTCATTCATCTCACATCAAATCAGACAGCCTTAAGCTAAGAAACAACATGCCTGAAGCCTACCACGCGCATCCCGACTACGGGTTCGACCGCGACTTCAAGGGCTACGGCGAAAAGGGCCTGGCCTGTCCCTGGCCCAACGACGCCAAAATCGCCGTCTCGTTCGTGATCAACTATGAAGAGGTCCGTCCGCCCTCACTCATCCGTTCTACTCTGACACATGCTGACAACCTCTCAGGGAGGCGAGAGATCCGTCCTTCTGGGCGACGGCGTCTCCGAGACCAACCTGCGCGAGAACCCCATGGGCGGGCCCCGCGTCAACGAGCGCAACTACAACGTCGAGTCCGAGTACGAGTACGGCTCGCGCGCGGGCTTCTGGCGCCTCTTCCGGCTCTTCAACTCGCGCAAGATGAAATTCACGCTCTACGCCGTCGCGCAGGCCGTCGAGGAGCAGCCCGAGGTCGCGAAGCGCTGCGTCGAGGAGGGCCACGACGTCGCCTCGCACGCGTACCGCTGGGTCGACTACCACGACTTTCCCATCGAGAAGGAGAAGGAGTACATCCGCAAGGGCATCACCTCGCTGAAGAGCCTGACCGGGTACGCGCCGAAGGGGTGGTACTATGGGCGGCCGTCGCCACACTCGCGGACGTTGATTGCGCAGGTGTATGAGGAGATGGGCGAGGAGCTGGTGTGGGCGAGTGATACGTATGCGGACGATGTGCCGTACTGGACGGACTTGCCCCTGGAGCGGGAGAAGGAGGATCCGAAGGGGTGCTTGATGGTGCCGTACAGCTACGACTGCAACGACTTCAAGTTCCACATTACCGGGTCGGGATTCCGCGACCCGAACGGCTTCTACACGCACTTGAAGAACGCGTTCGATGTGCTGTATGAGGAGGGCCAGGAGGGTCAGCCGAAGATGATGACGATTGGGCTGCATTGCCGCATCATTGGAAGGCCTGGTCGATTTGCGGCGTTGCGCGACTTTGTGGATTATATTGCCCAGAAGGAGGGCGTCTGGGTTGCGACGAGGACGGAGATTGCGGAGGCTTTCAAGGCGAAGTATCCTTACAAGAAGGGACAATTGGCGTAGACGGCTTCCAAGGAGTTGTATTGAATGTAAAGACAGAGAGCGCTCGAATAACGAATCTAATACCAACGCATGACCATAGCAAGCAAGAACATGGTGACCATCGTTAATAATGTCCTTCCAGACCTCCGAAGTCCCATTCCGAGTCCAATGTTCCTATCGGAAGTGCCTCCGGGATAAATGCTGAGTCGTACTCCGGTGCCCTTCCATTGCCGCCTTCATCGCCGGGTAGAATCTCCTCGTGTCTGATCATTTCCATATGCTCAGGTATCGAGTCGTCGTGCACCATCTCATTGAACATCCTCCACCCTTGCCATCCGCCAGGCGCTTCCTCGTCCACCTCCATAAACGCCTCTTTAACTGCATCAGAGATGGCATGGCTCATAATCGGCTTACCTTCGTGTTGTGTCTTGGGCGACACAGCAGGACTCGTCGGTGAGACCCCAGGCTCCGCTTCGAGGTCCACCTTGAGCGGCTTCAGCCCCGAACCCGAGGGAGAACTTGGGTTGACAATGGTCTTGAAGAGACTTCCGGAGAGAGCATCAAAAATGTCGCGATATTTGACTGCCCCGGGCCACTTCTCGCCAAAGATTGTGAGCGATTGGGAACAGGCGCGAGTAGCTTCCAGTGCGTCGTAGGAGAAGAGAGAGCGGTCTCTCCACAGACAGTACACCAACGTGAGTCCAGCGATGAAACATGAGTGCAGCGCCATCATTGTGTAACTGAGAGTCTTTTGCTGATTGAGGCGCTTGTATGTGGTGCATACGCAGGCTGCCGATCGTGCGCAGGTCACGAATCTCGGGTCGGATGTGTTCAAGGTCGGAAGTAGAACGGTAAAGAGCGACAGTATGGACTTATGGTATTGTCTACACAGTATCAGCTCAGTCATATCTCGGGGGCTTGGACCAAGCTTCGACTGACAGATTGAAGAAGTCTCTTGAGTCGTGATACGCGCTTTCTGGGTCATACATCCATGTAATAGACTTGGAGTCTTTCGGCGGATGTGGGATTTTCCTCGCCCATTCGTCTAGCTCGCCCCGAATAGCCGTCATTTTCGAGTGAAGTTTGGCCCTCTCATCTGGTGATCCCGCAAAGACATCCTTGTCGACACGGTATACGCGCCTGTGGATTCTCGACTGTATTCGACGGAGCTTGATGATGTGAATGAACGGCTTCATGTTTGACCAAGCTGGTTCAGGAGGTGCCGGCGGGCTGCCCAAGGCCGTGAGGTCCCAAAACGTATTATCGTCGCTAGGCATCTGCAAAACTCGTAAGTAGGGAATCTCCAAGTGAAACAAAAGCTTGCCTCACCTCCACGTTGATGTCTCTGTCATCAATGGCAAATGTTCTTCCCAATACCACGCTCGTCATTCTGTCCAGACAGTAGCAAGCCCAGAATGCCCGCCTTCTTATCTCAATATCGCGCTGACTGTGTGAGGACGTGCCCGTCTGCTTCCGATGTAGGCCCAGCTCTATGCAGAGTGTTACAGCGTATCGAACCTGTGACCAGCATCCGGCACCGAAAGGGCTTCTCTGGCCATGGACGGCGAGTAAAAGCAGGAATTGGACCGTTGCCAGGTTATGCTGCTCTAAGATGAAATCCATTGGCTCGATGGCTGCTAGAAGATGACGCTGAACTAGTTAAAAACCCGGTTTGCTAAGTTCAAAGAAGACTAACTCACTTCAGGGTCAACGTCACAGGGCTTCTTCATCAACTGCAGAAATCTGGCCGAGATCGCATATATGAGGTGCATGATGCTTCTTTGTTGAATCGGCAGAGCTCCTTGGTCGTACTGGTTTTTGAACAGTACGATGTACGTCTTCCTGTCCAAGATAGGCCAGCGGGTGTGAAGCCGATTGAAAAATACGTCGAAGAGCATTTTTGCCTGGTCCGGATGGGGAAATTCGGACATTGGCTCATCGGAATGTGAAGATGGGGAACCTGTTGATAGGGGTGGTCGAAGGACTCCAGGCTGAACCGCAGCCATGGCTTCATTGATGGCTCTTCCCCCGGCCCCGTGGAATATGGAAGACTGGATCATTCTGGCGATCGTGGCCCCAGAGCTTGAGCCAAGGTAGAACGGCTCTGGCGCAGTGTCAGTTGTGCCAGAGGCACAGAGAGACAAGTATGCGACACCATCGACAAGAGAGGAGGGCTCCTCTTCCGAGAAGGAGTCTTGAGACTCTCGGCGCTCGAACTTGTTCTCCTGTGGTGCCTCGGTTGATGATGTCGCTGCAGTGAAGTGATCCTCGGCGAAGTCTGGCATGCGCGCCTCAAGAAACGCGATGCGCTCTTCCAAGGCACTGATGTACAAAGACTTCCCTCCGGGATAATGCGGCCTGAGTGTCTTTTCATACACACATAACACATTGGCCTTGTCGCATGACTTGCAGCTGGGATGACCTCCATCGCACTATTCAAGACCCCATCAGTCCAAGTGACCCCATGAGCAAAACCGGTTCACGTACCCGTTGTTTTCTCCTCTTACAACGCTTGCAAGCGAGAGCGACTCGCGATTTACGGGGCGGCGGAGGTCCTCCAACGAGCGGGGCCGCGTGTGGGCTCACAGGGCTGTCTGGGTGAAATCCGGACCTGGCAGCCGACGAATCGCCTGTGAAAGTTTGACCGAACATTATTGCTGTCAGAAACTGAAAGTCTAAACACAAACAGTACTGTGTCAGTCTCTGTGAATTACAGAAAGAGTTGACGCAGGAAGATTTCCAGCCGATGGGCAGAGATAGGAGAGAAGAGGGCCTCCAACTGTCCATGAATATTCCGATGCATGGAGACAAGATTAGCATGGGGTCATTCCTGTTGGCTCGTCGGAGATTGGAGCACGTAAACCCCACAGATTAGCTATTCTTCTCCAGGTGATTCGGACGTCCATCGCAGATAAGAACCCTTGTCCGGCAGCCCAAGAGCCATGTCATCCTTATCGACCGTCATATTCCCGCCCTCCGCAAGATCTGGCTTACAAACACACCCGTCTGTTTGCGATTCTATCCCCGCAAAGTCGGTGTAAGAGACTCAGCCGTGGAAGGCACCCTGTCTCCTACAAGACATGCGGGGGAAGCAGCCCGGTCTGTGCTAAGGCCGGATGCCGGAAATATGGGTCCATTGGTTCCGTCCCGGTGTTCTCAGAGTGAGCCAGCACCCGCAAGATTGACGCGTTGCAAAAAAGGTCTTGAGAAAGCGCATTTTCGTTATTCAGTCGTTGCTCCCAACTCTAAGTATCGACTACGATGGCGAATGATTGGTATCCCTCCCAGCCTTGGCATCGTTGGCCGGATGACCTAGTCTTGTCAAGGATTTACCCCTCTTCGCCTAGATTCTCAACGAACTGGCCCAGACATTCACCGACTTGACGGCAAGGGTGGCAACTTTTACACTACGAACAGCCGCACAAAACATGAGCTCGTCATTGTGGTCGCGAATAGGGACGAAGACCAAGAGCGCCATTTCTTGGAAAGCTTGGCAAGCCAACTTGGCAGTGCGGGGAGGAATGGGCTAAGCTTCGATGCGATTAGAGTCCTTGGTGGCCTCTTGGCCTAGAAGGAAATGTAAAGGGCGCATATATAGAGCGCGAGATGATGCCCTGATAGGTTTTTGGCGTGGGTTTCTCGTCATACGCTCTCCAGCCCCTCTATCTCAAGCTGCAGCCTAGGTGATCGTTAGTTTCAACAGCCATGCATCGAAAAAGTCTCGAAAAGAATGATGGGCTTCCCGGAGTTCTTGAAGAGGTCGAAAGCACACTGAAAGTTGACCCAAACATTCGTGATTACTCTGGAGCCCACGAAAAGTCAGATCGTCGCGAGATTGCTCTCGTTCGAAAGCTTGATTGGTGGATCATGCCAATGTGAGTGGTTCCCTCCGTTCACACAACTTCGGAGTCATTGCCTAACCAAATCGACAGATTATGGTTGATGGTAAGTGTTGCTCCCTTAATGGACATTTTCCTTCGGTGTTTGATGCTAAGCCCGTTTTAGTATTGGCTTAACTACCTTGTGAGTAGAAATTCGATGCTACCAAGTATTTAGCAACCGTTCACACGAATTAGGATCGAAATGCTATCGCTCTCGCGAGACTCAACACTCTCGAAGAGGACCTCAACCTCACCCCGACACAATATCAAACCTGCGTGGCCATTCTGTTCGCTGGATATGTCATCGTGGGTATTCCAGCCAATATGGTCGTTACTCGAGTGCGTCCAAGCTGGTGGATGGGCTCCTGTATGGCAGTCTGGGCTGTCATCAGCGGCCTCACAGCTGTGAGCAAGGATTATACTGGGCTTCTGCTCACAAGATTCTTTCTGGGCATCACCGAAGCTCCGTATTATCCCGGCGCCCTATACGTGTTAGCGACTTTCTACACTCGCAAGGAGCTAGCTACCAGGATATCGATCCTGTATACCGGCAACATCCTGGCGACTGCGTTTGCTGGTCTCATTGCACTTGGAATCTTCCAGATGCACGGAATGGTAAGCCATGTTGCCAATCACAGATGATTATCGTCTCGTTAACAATCTGCAGGCTGGGATCTCGGGGTGGCGATGGCTTTTCATCATACAGGGAGTTGTAACCCTGATCATCGCCATCATCGCATTCTTCATCCTTCCCGACGAGCCCTTGACGACCCGATGGCTAACTCCAGAGGAGAGAATACTGGCGAACGAAAGGATCTTACGAGACACCGTGGGCAATACCGGACAGACCACCACCTGGAGTGGTCTCATCGAGGCGGCGAAAGACCCAAGAGTCTGGCTGTTTACGGCTATGCAGCACTTTCATCTCGGCGCAAACGGGTTCAAGAACTTCTTTCCCACTGCAGTGGAAACGCTTGGGTTTAGCGAGACAGTCACACTTGTTCTCACATGCCCGCCGTATCTGATTGCCGGCATCATTTCCATCGCCTGGTCATGGTCATCTGGGAGATTCAACGAGAGGACCTGGTAAGTGGGACCATTTCTGCCGTTACTGCTGACTCAACGTCGAGAGTGTTGACATTGAAACCGCAGGCACATTACCATCGCAAAGGCGATTGCAGTCTTTGGCTTCGTTTTGGGGTGCGCCACGCTCAACACTGGTGCACGATACTGTAAGCATTGTCAAATATGTTCTTGAAGACGTTTTGCTACTGTCCTTTGCTGATGAGTAATTATCAATAGTTGCAATGTGTGTTTTCTCCATCGGGTAAATTCTTCAACAGATCCACAGAAATACCGACCGTCCTGGCTAAGTTCTACTGCAGTACCTACGCCGTCAATAGTATCATCCTCGGCTGGGTGTCAGCAACGTGCTCTCAAACGAAAGAGAAGAAGGCTTCCTCTCTAGCCATAGTCAACTGTATTGCTGTTAGCTCTTTCATTTGGACACCATATATGGTATGTGATCCTCTCTGAGCGCACATTCAGTGTATTGATGGCATCCGCAGTGGCCCAGGTCCGACGAGCCTCGATACGTAATGGCAATGTCCACGAGCGCGGCTCTGAGTGTCGCGACAGCCGCCGGAGCATGGGCCATGCGGTTTTGGCTGAAGTACGAGAATAAGAGGATTCGGCAGTCGGAAGACGAAAATGTGTTATTTTACGCCTATTGAGCGTCTGATCACAGGCCCTGGGATGCACTTCTTGGCTTGGCCGAGCGGCTGGATCCTTCAGACTCGACCCGCGAAAAGCTTTTCTCTTGCCAGTCAAATGAAGAACTCCGCGACATTGAAAAGGGCCAAATTTCAGGGAAGAACATTGTGGGCTTGGCAATAGCGATGGAGCCCCGATGAAGGTGGAGCGCGGACTTCCGCGAAAGTCCGTGATCTTCCCGATTGAACATGTAAACGTCGGAGCGACACAAAGGACCGTCCCGATAAACAAGACGACGGCTCCATACATCTATCTAGGACAATGAAATACATCGCGTGATTATGGCCCTAGTCAGACCTGTAAACAAGGATTGGGACGTCAACTACAGGGAACTTGTATGCGTCTAAAGGATGCAGCAATTGAAACAGTGTAGTAATGTTAAGACCGGTCCTTGAATCATCATCAACGATTTTCTCATACTTGTATTCAATCGAACAGAGTTCTGTCAAGACTCTTCAATACCTCACAAAAATGAGGTGTTGAGGGCATTGAACGTCGGGTCGCCTGTATCATGCGTAGGTTCATAGTTTTAAGTAGCGAATGACGCGGCGCCTTGTACCCATGGTAGGCAAGGTAGGGGAAATGCGGCAATCATCTCAGATCGAGTCACCAAGAGTCTTCCCGGCGCGGAGAGCTCGCTGCTGCCGGCGCCTTCATACATGCTGCCGTTTTGTGCAGCGTTGCAGCTAACATAGCACGACCGACTTTGACGGCACTAAAGGTCGCCGGTTGCATCAACGATAATCCAAGGCACATCCAGTGATTTGTAAACATACGGAAATTCTCGCTCAAAAACTGACTCGTTCATGGAGCTTAGTCTGCGTTGAAAGCTTTGCAAATGCACTCAACCAAACCCCGTATACCGACCATCTGATGTCAAAGGGTGGGGGCTTACTGACATGTCGGGAGTTGGAAAGTACCGTCCCGTATGAGAGGTGAAATCTTTGATCCCAACCACGTCACTTATGCCAAGAAAATGGGTCAGTGTTGAAGCCTATAAAGACTCAGCGATCTAATGGCATTCGATATTGATTCTGCGTCTTGTTCCGACAATACATCAGAGAATCATTCTAAGCCAATCAACTGCCTACCTATTCACACAAACATTCTTCGTCTTCATACTTACCTCGGCCTGCAACGCTATCACTCACCATGGCTCCTGTTCACAAGCCAATCGACCGATCCACGACCTTTGCGTCTCTGTTGTCAACAAACCCACCAGTCGGCCCTGTCGTTCTTCTGAACGTCATTTCTATCCCTCCTGAAGCCGACAAGGCAGCCTTCCTAGCAACTTGGCGCCGCTCTGCCGAAGTGCTGAAAAAAGCCCCTGGATACATATCCACCCAACTACACCATGCAATCGGAGATGGCAACTTCATCGTCAACTATGCAGTTTGGGAGAACAACGAATATCTCAAAGATGGTTTGGCACTTCCAGAGTTTCTCGAGGTGTGCCAGGACTTCCCGGAGGGCACCGAGTTCCGGGCCGCTGTTTTGCAGAAGGCTACGGTGAAAGACGTTTGTGTCGGAATCTGAACAAGCCCCTTGTATGCATATGGGAGATTGAAGTTGGAAGGCTTTGATGTATCAAACCATTGACAGACATATTCAAGTCATCTCAGGAAAGTGCAGTCGGGGCCAATGATGTTAACGGTCGGTCTGGTTGGGGACTTTGGTAAATGGTGTTGTGAAGGATCCCATGCCTGTAACGATTTGCTTATCTCATTGGTCAAAATTACGACGACCCAAGATTAGCTGGACAGAAATGCAAGTGACGTGGCAGCAACCTGTGCAGCTGTGCTAACGAACTTTCCAACTTCAGCATGATGAGCTGACGTGATTCAAGTCGAACTTAACACCAGACCACGCATCCAAACTTGTGGCAAAGCAAGATTTGGGGTGTACGACTCATATTTCAGAGACCCCCTCTGCTCTCGTCTCTTTTTCCTTGTCGCAGATTGGAACCTCTTCAACATGGCGGAATCAAGTTTGTGTTCGTCATGCCTTGAAATCTTCAGCGGCAGCTACATCACCGTTGGGGAATATCTCAAGCATCACCCCGATCAGATACCGCACAGCCAATTACTGTTGCCCACTGAAAGACATCACTGGAGGCTCAAACTTGACGTACCCCCAGCGTCACAGCAAAGGCCGTCACTGCATCTCCATCATTCTATCCAAAAGCTTGCCGAGACACGACATGGGTGCTCACTCTGTGCCATGATCTACGATCAGCCGAGGGATCTCAGCGACGATTACGAGGACCACAACTGGGCGATTCCAATGATTGTTCCACAGGAACATTTGTTCCCTTGGGGCGCTTTCAAGTTGTGCTTCCTGTATGTCCAAAGCGTCAAAGATGGTATCTACACTCATCGGGGCATTCGAGAACTCAATAACTTTGAAGTTGTGGGTAAGTCGTCACTGAGACTCTAAATTTAACGCATGATCTGCGCTTGTTGAAGACTGATTGAACGAGGCAGATATGTCAATTCCCAGTGACACCAATCAATGGTTGCCGGAGCTTTCTCGTCAGGATTCACTGGTACGCATCAAAGACTGGCTGCACGAGGAAACACCTCTCCCATCGATGGGTCTGACCTCCACCCTCCCAACTAGACTCATCCACCTCCTCCCGGCGAATGCAAGCGAAGAGTCAGAAATGGTGAGGCTGGAAACAAACAACATGAACGCCACTGAATACGCTGCGTTGAGTCATTGCTGGGGAGGGAAGCACCCCCTTATGCTGCGCCATGAGAACCTGAAGGAACTAGTTGGCGGAGTGCCCCTGACCACTCTTCCAAGAACCTTTCAGGATGCCATCAAGCTTGCTGCGTCTTTAGGCATCCATCATCTCTGGATCGACTCTCTCTGCATCATTCAAGATTCCAAGGAGGACTGGGAGGCCGAGGCAGCCCGCATGGCGTCCGTGTACCTTGGTGCCAAGGTGACAATTTCCGCGACTGCCGCAGATGACTCGTCAACGGGTACGATGCCCGACTCCATGCTGCGATACCCTACGTACGTCAAGCCGACCTGGACCGGGTTTGAGGATATCCCAATGCTCCAAAAGCCATTCAGAATCATCGACAACACGTCATTCAGCCGTCGCGTGCTCCTCCGAAACATATTCACTCGCGGTTGGGTGTACCAAGAGCGTATCCTGTCGCCGAAGGTCATTCACTGCGCCGACGATCAGTTGTGGTGGTTCTCTATTTCCGACGCTAAAGGATATGTTTTCAACGAGACCTGCAAGGGACACGAGTTTGATGTCTTGCGCATGTCCAGCCTTTCGCAGTCCGTTTCTCCATCCGAGCTGTATTCTGTGCGGCCGAACTCGGAGGCTTCGCCCTCAAGACGTGTTTGGTGGAGTCTGGTGGAAGACTACATGACGCGGCAATTTACGTTCGATTCGGACAGGCTTATTGCCATCGGAGGGGTGACATCTGTCTATCAACGACTATCAGGCTTGCGCGAAGACGCTTACCTTGCCGGGTTATGGCGGCATACACTTCTTGAAGATCTTCTCTGGACCACGCGAGAGGGCCGACGATCATCTCCTCCACAAGGCTACCGTGCACCATCGTGGTCATGGGCATCCATGGAACCGATTCACTACCACACCCACAAATTCTCACTAGGATCGGTGAACGTGCAGTCTTCGTCCGACGGTCTCCGAACATTCGGTTTGGTAGCCAGCGTTGAAGATGCCAAAGTGGAAACCACTTCGTCGAGGTTCGGCTCGGTGGTGGACGGACACTTGGTTCTTCACGGCCCTTTAATCAGAGCCAAGCTCTCATCACAGATGATCGACGTTCCAGGGGCCTACATGTATGCCTCAGGGATTTCAGACTTCTTCCCTGGCGGCATATTGAAGTACCAGTTGAGCACATTGTCGCTGCCCGAAAGAGAGGACGCCAAGGAGAAAGAGATAGCTGATGTGATTGCGGACGTGGACCTTGTCACCAAGCCTACCTTGGACGACACGTTCCCCATTTATTGCTCGATGGGAGAGTCTGCTGTCTACCTGGCTGTCATTGAGCACCACCAGTTCACGCAGGACAGCAAGCTAAAAGCGGATAGGGCCCACGCCCTCGTGCTTGAGAGGGGCTTGTACGATGGGGAATATCGCAGGATTGGATATGTCTACATGGCGCCAACTGTATTGTATCCCTTATCCTTGCATGGGACATTTGGTGCTTTTGATCCCCTCAACCAGGACGAGTACCTGAGGGTTGGGGAGAAGCCCGGGTACTACGTTTATCGAGTCGTTTAATCGGTTTGTGGGGATTGAAGCGATAAGTTCCGTCATGACAACATGCGAGCCAGTCACGATTCGAGATAGGCTGGTCAAAAGCCGGGAGCGATTCAGTAAAATGTCAGTTGTCTTGTTACTCTGGTTAACATCCTTGCTGTCCTCGCTTCAGAAGGTGACAGCACCTTCCAATGTCAGCTGAGGGAACTGTCGTGTGTTGCAGGGGTCTGTAAATTACAGTAGAGGGTCGCCCACGCCAACCAACTAAAAACCCGCTCAACCCTTGCATTCAAGCTTTTGGTAGGTTGCCACTGAGGATCTTGTTCTGTTAAGGTTGGGTGTGCCTTAACAGCCCCAGTACCGAAGGCTCAAGCGGGACATGGGTTATTTGGCGATGTTTACCTTAAGCGTACATTTGCGCCGTGGTTGCAGTGTGAAAACCTATCATTCCGCACTTATATTTAGCATGCAGTTGAAGCCAAGATTGACGATGTTTGGCCATGAAAAAGTACCAGTGCAAAAAAGCTCTGTAAAGATTGAAAGTTGAAGAGAAACATGAAATCTTCGCATTCGCTTTTCGGTTTTGCCGCCTTTAATGAACTGTAAGTTGTGTTCCTCCTCGCTCTGAACCCACGTGGATCTGTAGTCCGAGTCAGAATCGTCAGTTGTTCGATTGAACAGCCCGGGGTAGGCGAGATCAGGGGGGTCGCTCTGCCCCAGTGCGAGTCATTACCTGTTCGAGAGGAATGTGGGCGCGGTTTCCCTCGCGTGAAACTGAATGCAACCCTACCCCGGCTGTTGTCCAAGACATCTCGACTTTAACATGCGGTTGTCCCCTCTCTCCCCATCTCGGAAGATTCTTTTCCTCTCTTTTCCCTTCCCACTTGGATTCTCCGCCAAGTCAGAGGCACGTTCTCAGACATGCAAACTTCAACGACCACGGTCGCAGGATGATTCCCTACACCAACATGGCTATGTTACCAGAGGCTAAGGTGTATTTGATTGCGAATTCGGTGCTGGTGTTTGTCACGTTGTTGGTGGTTGCCCTTCGAGTTGTCTCCCGTGTTTTGGCCGGCTCAAAACTTGGTTGGGATGACTACTTTACTTTGTTGGCCGTGCCCCAGGGCATTGTCATGTTAGTGTTACAAGGACTTTGTAAGTCTCACGATATAGTGCGCATCTCAATGAACATTTGTCTTAACTCTATCTCAGGGACTGCTGCAGGTCTTGGCTACCAGTTGTCGGAGATTGGTGACAACTGGACCTTTGTAGACTCGGTGAGTCTTTGTACAGCGTCTTCCCTTGTCTCGACGATTCACTAACGGCACATCGTTCAGCTTTTTCTTCCCTTCGAAACCATCTTCGGCGTCGTCAGTCTGACGACGAAACTCAGCGTCCTCTTTTTCTACCTTCGAGTATTCACCAGCCGACCTATGCGCATCGCGACTCGATTGACTTTCGTCATTGTCATTCTTTGGGGCATCGGAAATGTCCTCCAGACTGTCCTCGTCTGCCACCTCACGAATGGAAAATGGCACGCGACGAACAAAGACATCTGCCGCGAACACGAGGCTAGCATTCTATCGACCGGACTTTTCAACTGCATCAGCAACACCATAATCATGGTTGTCCCGCTGTACACGATTTGGACGCTCCGAAAGGTCAGTATCTCGACACGATGGGGCCTCAGCGCGGTATTTTTGTTGAATCTTATGTGGGTACCCCTCCAGTCGCCTTGGCTCTCGGAGATTGATGCTTGTTCCCGATGATCACCGAGCTAACGATCACCTAGCGCAATCATCGCGTCTGTAGTGAGACTCGCCATCATGATGGATGTCCACAGCCTTTCGCAAGTCATGAGAAACATGGCCGTTACGACTTTCTTGACTGTCCTCGAGACTCACTTGACGATCTTGTGCAACAGTCTCCCAATGCTTCTCCCATTGTGGGCATTCTGGAAACACCGACGATTCGAGACGGACGAGTACGTATCGAGGCTCGGCGGTTCAACCCAATCGGGCAAGCACGATCACCTGGTGGAGGATCTTACGAACGGCATCCCACTCGAGACCATGTACGGCAGCAACATCACTCACTTCACGACAACGGTTGGAACCGGGGGCATGAGACGGGGTTCAGGGAATGACGGCGACTCTGATGTCTCGGAAACGGAGTCTACCCAGAGGCTTCCGAGGAATGCGCAAGCTATCACGATTGAGACAAAATGGTCTATCAAGGAGGAGACAACGAAGTAGACTTAATGACCCCTGTAGTAATTGTAACGAAAACATTCCCCTACCTCGGTCGTTTACCAATGGGTGATGTCTAATTGCATCTGCTTATTGCGTGGCAACGAAAAGCAAGATGTTTCCCTGTCTCGCTCTATGACTTGGTGTGGAAAGCCACAACTCATGGTGATCACAATTCTAGCAGATGCATTGCGTTTGAGTCAGATGAACTCAAGATCTAGACAACCTAAGGACAAGCAATTAGTCTGAATTCTGTCCCAAAACCGTCGGTTCCTTCCGTCCTGCTGTGGGGTGGTGGCTCGTATTGCCGCACGGCTCGTAAAACAACCCAAAAAGGGAAATCCGAAGGTCTACATCCCATCGGCTACCACATGACGCCAGAACTCCCGGGCCGGAGTAGAGCCAATCAACGTATACGAAAATGCATCAAGAAACATCTGCTTGACGACAATTCTGGCGAAGCAAGCAATATTTGAGCAATTTAGCCGCTATTAGTTTAGTGTACCCGAATTGACAAGCACTCCACGTGGCAGCTGCATTGTCTGTGCATGGGATCCAATCCTTGCGGCACAGGCTTATCGAGGGCCTTACGGTAGAGGGCTCATCCGATAGATGGTTCGTCATTCAGGAGGTCAGACAGCCCCCGACTTTTACCCCGAAAAATTTCTCAAATCTGGTGTTGCGGTCGTTGTCTACGAAAGCCATACACAGGGTAGAAGGCGCCCATCTTGGACCTGGATTTACGCAGCCAGCCATGGATACCATTTCGACACTCGACACTGCGGCGTGCATTCTTCACGCAACTTCGTTTATTGAGACGACTTTCGCGGTTGAACAGAGCTATAAAGTACAAGCGCCGTATGACAACGGCGAGGCCATTCTGAGATCTCTCAAAACTTTCAGACTGGCACTGTCAGATACGCAAGGGCGTCTAGCGACCAGTTTCACACGGTCAGAGGATGCCCTCCCGCTGCGAGATCTTGTCTCTTCTCGGGACGCGGCCATTGTCCTCCTTGAAAGTATCGAGGATGTGTTTACACGATCGACCGACAAACCGACAGGAAGAACTGGGCAAATCGCTACAGAAGCCCTTTTGAGGTTGAAGCTCGAGGAGTCCGCTCGCCTCAAGAGTAATGTAACGCGTGAAATCGCCCATGTTCATAGGTACGTAACGAAAGTCTCGCTCTAGCATACCGTCTTTTCATCCTAACGCCACAGCCTAGCTCTCAGATCTCCCAGTTCAGCCAATCCTTGACGATGCTCGAAAGCCAGAACCGTTACGCTAGACCAGAACACGAATCTCAAGTCGATCTCATGTCACGAGACTTGGAACACTTGAGAATACAAGCACAAAAGCATTTGTCGAATCCAGATGCCACCTACACGCAGGCCGACATCGAACAACTCAGAGTCCTGCTTGTCCGACTAGCTGAAGCAGAGGATGCCTTGCTTGCCGATACAATTGTTGCGAGCCTCAATTACACCAGCAGACCGATCCGCCTTGATTCCATTCCCCAGGCGCACCAAGATACGTTCCAATGGGCCTTCGATTCTCGACTGGCAAATTGGTTCCTTTCTGGGAGTGGCACTTTCTGGATCTCCGGGAAGCCAGGTTCTGGCAAGTCCACGTTCATGAAGTTCATTTCCAAACATACTCGGACCAAAGAGCTGCTAGAAATTTGGGCAGGTCCAACCGGCACACTGGCTATTGCGACTCACTGCTTTTGGATCGCAGGTACACCGATTCAGAAATCCTGGCAGGGGCTTCTCCAGTCTTTACTCCATGATCTACTTCGTGGGCATCCACAAGCTGTCTCCATAGCCTGTCCAAGTCGCTGGGCAGCTGCTAAAGTTGGAAAGTGGCAGGCAGCCGCAGAACCATGGTCGGTGGAAGAGCTTGCTGTTGCACTGCGAGCCCTATCCACAGCGAAGCAGATGCCATTGAGGATGTGCCTCTTCATCGACGGATTGGACGAATATGACAGCAATCACGCTGAGCTCTGTCAAGTGCTCCTCGATATGGCCAAGTCTCCTCACGTCAAGATTTGCCTCTCCAGCCGTCGTTGGCCAGTTTTCGAGAGAAGCTTCGGTCAACGTGGTCAGGAGAGCCTTGATATCCACGAGCTGACGCGGGACGATATCCGGAAATTCGTCAACGACCAGCTGCAGGCTGACCTTCGATGGACTGCCGAGACTTCCGAGGGCGTTACCCTAGCGAAGGCCGAGCTCGTGGACCGAATCGTCACCCAGGCTGACGGTGTATTTCTCTGGGCCTTCTTCGTGACTCGATCGTTGCGAGAGGGTCTCGCCAATGGTGAGAAGATTGAAGATCTCGCCCGACGCTTTAGCCAACTACCATCCGACTTGGATCACCTGTTTCAACACATGCTAGACAGTGTGGATCCTACGGATCATAGCACAATGGCGGGCATCTTACAGGGCGCGGTACACGCACTGGAACCGCTTCACATCGATCTCTACCACCAGTTGGAAAAAGAATTGCAAAATCACAATTCCGTGTCGCAAAACTCGGAATAGCTTGGGTCTGTCCAGAGCGTTGCCCTCCGGAGAGAGCAGACGGTCCGCAGCATCAATCAGAAGACAAAGGGCCTGCTTAAGCTTGTTTATGATCGCTTTGAGTTCCTCCATAGGACCGTCAAGGACTTCGTCTCGACAAAAGATGTTGGTGACTATCTGCGAAGCAAGTTGCCATCCGACTACAATGGCTTCACATCGATCGCAGGAGCGTACCTCGGGTATCTCAGAGGCACAAGACAGAAAAGCTCGCTTGTCGTAGACGTTATCAGGCAGGGACGGGGGATGAACAGCGGTCCGCTCATTTCGCATCTGAACCAAGCCCTGTTCTACGCATCGGAGGCGCTCAAACAAGCCGAGCAGCCTGGCTCTACTCAGCGCCAACAGGTCGAGAAGCTGCTAGACGAGTACGAGGCGGCCATCGTGGAAATGGTCAGCCTCGGCCATGTGACTGTCAGGGGCGTCAACTCGGATCGTCTCGATGCAAGGCTGTTGTTTCGCGAAGAGCTCCTTCGCCACGAGCTGTCGCCTTATCTGACAAAGAAGATTGCCGAGCAGCCGAATTTCTTCGACGTATTTGATGAGTCGCCGCTGTTTGCAGCGCTTATGCCCATGTCTCGTGACGGTGGCGAGAGTCCGGGACCCTCATCAGAAGTCCTCGATATTCTTCTCGGACGCGGTGAGGATCCCAACTTGCTACCTCGACAGTTGGATGTTCCCAGCGCGCTGGATGCACCATCACCTTGGGTTCTTTTTGCGCGCAGTACAATGTCGGTCTTCAACATGCTATCGGGACCGTGCATGTTTCCTGCCTTGCGATGGAACGACTCGTTGAAGAATGCTACTTTCAGCCGGCTGTTGTCTCATGGCGCCAACCCCAATCAGCCTCTACTGGATCGTCCTGCGGCGCGTACCGTCTTCTCGCATTTCCTGGATATAGCTCTATCCAAGTTTCTTGGAGAAGAGTGTTTCGAAGACTACCTCAGGACCCTGGATAGCTTCCTGCGAGCAGGTGCCAGTCTCGGTGTGCCAGAAATCAATAGATTGGAGAGTCCGCATGTTAAGCCCGCATTTGGGAACCTTGCGAGAAGACTGCCAGAAGAAACGGTGCTGGCATCTTTCTGCAACGAGTTGAAGGGACTTACAGCGAAGTTGTCGGCCGATCCACGGAGAGCCACCTTTGTCTCCTCTGTCTTGGAGAAACTCATTTTTCACAGCTGTGGCAGAGAGGAAGACCTGAAAGAATTAAGCTTTGCAATATCACAAGGCTGCCCCGCGCATACTACCGCCCCATTGTTGCGTTGTATCGATTCTGAGGCTAGCCTGCCACGAGAACGGGCATTGAAGCGAAAGAGACTCCCAAGGGAAGGCGGAGAACATAGTGCCGAGGTTAATGGAATGAAAACCAAGTACCAAAGAGGGAGTGATATGCTTAGGGAAAGATGATCCGCGTCATATAGTAGCGTTGCGTCCGGGCTTTCACTAACAGTGGAGTCCGGTTTGGGCTGACACAGAAAGACATGTTTTCATTGAATTTGGATTCTCAAATCTGAGCCACTAAGCGTGTCGAACCTTTTATTTTTTTCGGTTTACCTGATTTCAGGCATATTACTATCATGCACGCTTCCAAATCTTATGGATGAGTACGGTGCGCTAAGAATATCATGGCTTTGGTAAGTTTGACACAGATTTTGATTCTCAATTGCTTTGTGAAACAGAGTTGTTTAGCAGGCTGTTCAAACTCTTTTATATGCTGTAGATTTGATCAACGGGTGAAAAGAGAGATCGATGAGGGTTGGAACCGGAATGAACTAACTGCAAGACGAGTGGGACAAAACGAATTTAAAACTCAAGCTGCATGTAATCCGAAAGCTAGACAATTGTAATGGTGTAGAGTTGTCCATCAACTTTGAAGTCTTCCATAACATCGTGCGGCCAATTCAAGCGTGTTATCCATTTCTCCCCCTCCGTCGGTGGCCTGAGAAGCCGGGTTACTTCGTTCTCTCCATCCTTGCAAAAGCGTGACAGTCCTCGCAACTCTGCCATGTAAGGATGTGTTTGCGCCCATAGCGTAAGAGACAGAAGATCGAACGCTACCCAAAGTGTTTGCCCCCTATGCTGGCGGACTATGCTGTCGTAATATACCCACATGTTGCTGATGTGGCCAACGGAATCCCTCAAGTCAGGTTCCTCAGCCACGACCTGATTGAGTCCATCTTTCCTGCATTTCTCTTCATCAATTGCCTGATTGATGAAATTCAGAGCATTAAACCCGTAAGTATCTACATCATTCGGATCGTATTCTTCCATCTCCTCCTCATCAGCTTCGTTCAGTGCCAAGTCACTCCACCCAATTCTCAGGACAGGCGGGTTAAACAGGCCGTTAGCTTCGGCGAAGGGCGGGCGGTTTGCTTGCTTCAAACTAATACCTCTTTGAGGTGAGAGTCAGCTACAGCCTGTGAAATTGTACACTTGATCAAGGCTACTGTTTAAAGAGGTTCTAGGGTGCCTCGGGAGGTGACGCCGTGGTTTAAATAACGCAGTCAATAGTAACTCACCTTGCCACATCTTTCTTGACCGAATCGAGAATGCTTTCAAGCACGTCATGTTGATCTGGCTTGAATCGTAACTGAATCAGGTTTACAAATTCCACCTCTTTTTGCCAGGAATTAAATTTATAATACTTCAAATTGAAAATCATGCGATCCATTTCATCTTTCGCCTTTCTAGCGTTTGAATTAGTGTTCCCATCACGGTTCTTCCACCGAAACAATTGCGGCTTGAATTCTTGAACGATTTGAAAGTAGAAGTTAAAGAACTCCATCGATGAACCTGTTCTTTCCGCATCGAGAACGCTCTGGAAGACTTTCAAAAGGATGACACTGTCGGTGACCCCTGGAAATGCTAGTCTCGGACTAGGAAATCTGATGTAATAAGGCGCCCGGACGTCGAAGAAGTATTCAAAGCGCTCTGGGTCAGCATTGAGTGCCCATCTCTGTCGCGATCCGCCTATAGGTTGACTGAGAAACATGTCCAAGTTTTCCATGTCAAGTGATTTCTCGCTCGTTCTTTTATTGTAGGGATAGTATCCTGGGTATTCAATGTCGGAGGCGAGCATTTTCTCCATCTCTTCATCAAAGTGTGTCCCAGCCGGGCGATCGGACCGCAGCAACGGAAGAGGTAACGTCAGGTTGTCGCCGTATGCCGAAAAAATGTTCGACCCGAGCCTATAGTGGTCATATGAGAATGCAGCGTGGTAGCCAACATATTCGAATGGGTCAAACTCGTGTGCCAGCTTGCGTGGAACATGAAAGCATGCAGCGACCGAAGCAGATACAAGTCGGAACTTGGCTTCTTCACTGGTTCGTTGCAATAGGCAGATCGTCGAAGAGCCTGCGACTGGTTCCTCACTAGCGCTGTCGCAGAGAACGAACAGATGTAATCTGCTAAGTTCGTCGGCAGAGTCGAGAATTTACTCGTTGACATATAGGCAAAAGGTACTCATCCCGACATTCAGTGTAAGGATGTTTACTTCGCCAATCCTTTCAATCTTGGTTTTGGAAAAGTCCATGGTGGCAAAAGAAATTAGGTGCACAGCTGCCAAATTGATCTCCCCGGTCAAACTATCTATTGTCGCGGAAGAGTACCAGCGAATGTCGAATCGTGGCTTGCCGTCGGAACGTGGATGCGAAGGGTTCCATTCGAAAGGTATTCTCAGACAAGTATGATCTCGGCAATATGTCGAGCAAGGGAACATCCCGAAGCTGCTGCCTCGGAAATCTGCACCGTAGCCTTTAGAATGATGCCTTGCGTAGGCCTCTGCGAAGTCCTCTGACATGTGCCAAAGCCAATTAGACCGTCGAGAGCCCATGCTAGAGATGAGGTGTCCGTTGCTTGACGCATTGTATTGGGAAAAAGGTGCCCAAGAAGGCATACCTGATACCCGACAACCAGGGGCTTGAACCATGACACACATGTCCTTCTTTACAAGCAGACAGTAAGCGTAATACCCGATTGCGAGGTGTTTGAATGAGATGGAGTATGTCGCGGCTATGCGATGTTCCCCGGAATCAATCAAACCAAGGATACCGAAGATCTTGTCGCGAGGGTCCGAAGCTCGTGAGGCGCTCACGAGTTCAACAGCTGTCCGCAGATTGTTTCCCGACTGAGACCCAATTGACTTTTGCGTTACGAAAGCAAACCATGGAATACCACAGGTCTCAGCTACCTGTGAGCTGACCGCCTGATCAACGATGCATTCCATGTCGCCGATACGCAGGGTAATTAATCTTGACATGATAAGTTTCTGGATGATCCAAAGACGCCGGGAAATATTCTCTCCTGAGGACGTCGGACAATGTCCAGTGCTTAGAGAAGCTCGGTGATGCTGATGGTAGTTGTGGTCTTTCTGTCAGAGTGTCGAGCTCTTGCAGAAGGTGTCTCCTAGGGTATGGCGACGATGTCGATGTTGGCGGAACCAGATCAGGTCCAAGGTAAATAACAAGCCGACTTGCTTTCTCGTATATTCGACCCATCTTGGCAACTTGCTCTTGTCTTTCTTGCATATCAGTCTGATTAATGCAAATTGCATCAACCCAGATAGTCCGCACGCCTTTCCATGGTCGCATGTGCCTCAGCATCTCCCAACAGTTACGGGTCTGAAAAAGAATGTCCCAGTATGGTCCGATGTACACCGGTTGAGTGAGGCGACTATCTCTGTTCTCGCCACCCCATGTGTAGGATACCGTTTCATATTCATGATAACGGAGGTCATCGTACACCTCCAGGCTGACTTGGATGGGGTGATTGACGTCTTCAACTGCATAGAGGCACATCACACGAAATTCCTTCTCCTTCAGCCGTCGTGAATAAATGTGGCGACGATATGACTCCCCTGACGATTCGCCTTCTTCGGGAGTTGAAGTTGGTGTGTCATCTTCAGGCGGTTGTACTGGTACGGGATGTCCATCCGGCCCTGTGGTGACGTACGGTACGCAAGGCGGCCACCACAGACGCATCTTGCCCGGCGGCTCATCTGGGGGAAGGTGAGGTATTGGTGATGACTTCCCTGCTTCTGCCGCAATTAGGCCATCTGTCGGGGAAACTGTTGCATGATTCGCAGTGTGGACGTTGTTGCTGGACGACAATCCGTGGGTTGGAGCAAGAGGAGGAGTGCCATCGACTCATACTGGCAAGCGGCGTCGGCGGCAGTGAACGAGATGACAGTATGTGATGGGTCTGAGACTGATGTTGAGACGAGGCGATAATTGAATGGTTTCCCAATTCCGTCTCGAATGTGAAGAAGCACACACACACACACACTAAAGTATCCGGAATCGAGGTTTGGGGCCCGATGAGATTTGAGGAATTTTACGTGCGGGGTCGCCGTGGCTATGCTTAAATCCTCACCAACAAGAAGAGATGAGCTTCCATTGTTACCATGCATGTCGCCGGCGAAGTAGGCAAGGCATCCAATCATCGGAAGAAGACGACGGGGATGACGGGGATGACGGGTACCCCTCCCGCCGGAGTAAGGCCCCTCTTGCTAGACACGTCAATTGGGCAGATCTTTGTCTGTTGGACTCCACCTTCACTTGAAGTTCCTGTCAACGTTTACCTGAGCCTGAAGTCTCTGAGGAAAGATAACCGTTCCAAAAAGCTCTTGGCAAAATTGAGCCAAAGATTGTCCCCCAGAGCGATAGTTCTCAAAAGCCTAAGCGGTAGTGGGAGCACTTCTACTGTGAATTCGGGCTTGCTGGAATCAGTAGAAAATTGCGTGTCGTTATTTTGTCTAACCCTATTTTACAAATTTTCGCCAGAAATATCTACTCCCTTACAACTTTCTCTTCGAAAGAGGCGTAGGACCATCGGGAAGGCCGCACTTAAAAACATACCATTGTCAGTAATTGTTCCATCGCAACACCATGTCAAATACACAGGGCGTGACTTACGTAGAAAACAACCAAGCTACCTCCATCAAAGATCGTCTCAACCGACACAGTCTCGTTCGAAGCGGGAGTGAGAGTAATATCGCTCCTTGTGTTCCAGTAAATCCCAGAAATGAGCGCCGGCTGTCCCATGCCGGGGATAACCGTCGCGTTGGCCCACACACCGGGGTCTCCACCGGTCGCCTCGGCGAAGACCTCCACGGCGACCTGCTGCGGCGGGTAGGGCGAGCCGTAGCCTGCCGCGCCGGCGACCTTGATCACCAAATTGCCCTGGAACGGGGAGTCGATGTTGAAGTCGACGATCTTGTCTGTTGTCGAGTACGCGCTCTTGGCGCCGTCGAGGACGGGCTCAAGCGGCGTCGAGGAGTTGCAGCCTGCAGGGGTTGCATTAGACGCGTTCTGGAAAATGTCCCGCGATTCCATGCGGGGGAGGGGAAGTGTAGGGTCTAACTTACGCGAGAAATCGGCGCGAACGGCCCAGGAGCCCTGGGAGATGGCAGCGAAGGCGCCGCTGGCGGCGAAGGCTGAAGCGAGGAAGACGGAAGACAGCATTTTGGTCAGTTTGTGGCGTTAGTTCTCAAAGTCGACGTCAACAATTCTCGTTCGGGGGGTTGTGAAGATTCTTATTTGTAGATCCCGGGGCTTTCGTCGCTGCAATGAAGGGATGAACACCCGCCCCTCTCCACTACGAGACCAGCATCATAGGGGTTCGGATGGGAGCGAAATAAGGTTTTGCGGTGCTACCGGAGCGTCATGCAGTTGTTAAATGACCCTCTTAATTTCTCGTATGCAATTTATATAGGGTTAGCCAAGGCCATCGCTGTTCATGCGAGTCAGACATAAAGACTTGACGCCCTCTGACAGGTAATTGTGACCTTCACTCGCCGCCTATTTTCGGACGGAACTTCTGAGAAATGATCGTTCAGTGAGACTTTCATATGAAAATAAGTTACGCTGACAGAGTTTAGAGACTGCTTCCCGGGCTTAGCGCCAGATTATGTCAAGCCCTATGGCGATCCGTTCCCTCTCATGGGATGAAATATCCCCGAGGAGCCGTGGTGCAATGCGAACCGGTCGCGCTTCTGTGATTGACGAGTCATTAAATAGACGAGCGATGCCGCCATCTTCCTCTTGTGTTCAATCAGGGAAAGAAAGAGACTGCCAGACTGGCAGTTTGATGATTGAGAGATGGAAGCTTTAGGGATTTCGGGGCTTGGCATTTCCCAGCTCCGTTGCGCTACGTCTATTAATATGATCCAAATCGCACTGACAGCCGGCAGATGCGCTTAATGCCATGCGCTTGACATTTGACCGAATCTTCGAAGTTCAGAATAATTAAGTAATAAGCCAGGTCGGTCGCAGCGATGTCTCAGTCGCATCCACGTTGGAGAAAGAGAAACAGCAAACGAAAGGAAAGAGTGCAGTTGATCAGCAACTGATTTCCCAGATAAGATCTAGCAACGTTCAATGCTTTCTCAAATCAACCTCAGAATCCGGAAACATGGTTTCTGCAGTACATGAGTATGCTTGCTGCTATGTCCCATCGCAACATTGATATGTAAGGCTTCGACAACAGACATCATTGAACAAAAATAGTCGCCCTTCACGCATGTAAGATTTGCAAACTCTGGACATTCCCTTCTAATCTTTAAACGCTTCGTGAGAATTAGACTGAAACAGTATTGTACAGCAGACCAGATGTCGATCGATTGATGATTCCACCTCCAATCCATCAACGCCCTGAAGATGGCCCAGAAACCCCGATAAAAAGCAACCAACACCCTCAACCCAGCCTATCCCACGTGATATCAATCCCGTCGGTACTTTCAATCCGACAACCCCCCTATCCACCAAGTCGGGCTACCACATCGCGCATCTCAGATAAAAAGACCAACAACATCCCGCCGGCTTATCTCAGTGGAGCACCCTCCCCCCCGAACCAGGTCCCCGGCCGCCCGCCAAGCCACCCGCTCCGCATCTGCGCCCATGCAATCCTTATCGGGGCGATGGGATGGATGTCATCGGGCTGCCGTCCGCCCGTCAACTCGCGTGGCAATGCACCGCTGACGCCGTCGGTTGCAAAAGCGCCGATGGCAGGGTCCCAATGCCACCGCGCGCAGGGAGCGAATCATCGCATCGCCGAAGGTTGTGATATCGGTGACGATGGCGGACGGCGTATCGGGCTGCTTGAAGTATGGAGCTGCAGCCTCCCTTCGCGGTGACAATCGGTGATGCGCTGCGCTCTTCCTCAATCATCTCAGGACGAAATAGTCGACAAGATGGCTCGCGTCCGTATACCAACCAGGGCCGAGATAGCGGCGCCGTTCCAGTCCAGAGCCGCTTTTAGAGAATGGGCAAAGGCCCCCGAGGCGCCCGAGGGCCAGGCGCGGATCGGCGACTCGCGATGGTCGAACAAAGATCTCGAGCCGACGCCGCCGCACCAGCGGACGTGGACGTGGTATAACCTGCCGCTGTACTGGTTCTCGAACATGTTTGGGACGACGGGGTGGAATGTGGCGTCTTCGCTCGTAGCAGTGGGCTTGGTATGTCATCCTGAGTTTGATTTTGGTGTGCGGGAGAAGAGAGGAAGCTAACGGATATCAGACATGGCAACAGGCCTTCATCTCCTGTGTCCTCGGCTCGCTCATCTCTGCGATTATCGTTACGGGCATGGCGCGGCCAGGCGCGATGTATCATCTGGGATAGTAAGTTTCCTCTATCAGAGACAGTCATACAGATGCTAACGACTTCTTAGCCCCGTCCTCGCACGATCGGTGATGGGCATGTACGGCTCCTACTTCTTCGTCTTCATCCGCGCCATCGTCTGCATCATATGGTACGGCATCCAAAGCTACTACGGCGCAAACCTCCTCTCCGTCTGCTTCCGGTGCATCTTCGGCAGTGGGTGGGACAACTTCGCCAACACCCTCCCCGCAGGCGCCGACGTCACGTCCAAACAGCTGCTAGCCTTCTTCATCGTCTGGCTAGTCGAGTTCCCCTTCGTACGCTTTCCCCTAACCACTCCCCTCACCCCAAGCACAACTAACACCCCTCCAGACCTGGGTTCACCCCGCGCACATCCACTACATCTTCACCGTAAAAGGCTTCGTCATGCCCTTCGCCTGCTTCGGCCTCTTCGGCTGGTGCATGGCCCACGGCACCGGCATCTCCAACATCAACGCCGCCGCCCCCTCCACCACCGTGCCCCTCGGCTGGGCCGTCATGAACGGCATCAACGTCATCATGGGCTCCCTCTCGCCCATGCTCGTCAACCAGCCCGACCTCGCGCGCTACACCCGCCGCCCCTCCGACGCCGGCTGGCTGCAGGGCGCCTGTGTGCTCTTCGCGCAGAGCCTCGTCTTCTTCCTCGGGCTGGCCTCCACGACGTCGCTGCAGGGCGCCTGGGGGCAGGCCTACTGGAACCTGTGGGATTTGCTGGACGCGATTTTGGACCACTACTGGACGCCCGCGGGAAGGGCGGGGGTGTTCTTTGTGGCGTTCAGTTTCATTCTGAGCATGTTTGCGACGAACTTTGGCGCGAACTCGATCCCGTTTGGGGCGGACATGACGGGGCTGTTTCCGAGATATTTGACTATCCGACGGGGCCAGATTGTGTGTGCGATTTTGGGCATTGTGGTGTTGCCGTGGAAGTTGATTGCGAATGCGTCGGCGTTCCTTTCGTTTTTGGGGAGTTATAACATCTTCATGGCCCCTCTCTGCGCTGTAAGTGCACACATCCATTCTTTTGAGAGCATAGCTAACACATCGAAGATCATCATCTTCGACTACCTCATCGCCCGCCGCGGCAACGTCCACGTCCCCTCCCTCTTCAACGGCTCCAAAACCGGCCTCTACTGGTTCAAAGCCGGCGTCAACTGGGTCGGCGTGTTCGCCTGGATCGGGGGCACCGTGATGGGCCTGCCCGGGCTGGTCGGGCAGTACCAGCCGCAGAGCGTCAGCCAGGCCGCGAAGAACATGTACAAGATGGGCTGGGTGCTGACGTTCTGCTCGTCGGCCATCATCTACATCGCTTTGATCCACGTCTTCAAGCCCAAGGTGTTTCCCGCGGGGTACGAGAATGCGCCGCGGGAGTTTGAGTGGCTTGCGAAGGAGGGGCGCGATGGATTCTTTGAGGGGGAGAGGGAGGGCGAGATCTATGCGCCGGCGTCGCCGCAGATTACGGACGGGGAGGAGGTGCAGGTTGAGGAGAAGGGCCGGAAGATGGAGGCTTGAGTTATTTTATTGGAAATGGTTTCACGAGTGATGTCTGACGATAGATATCTAGTAATGTCTCATGATTTTGGCTTCTATAGCCGAGAATCGACAAACTCCAAGACGGTCTTCCTACACTTTGTTCTTGCCATCTTAAGACTATGGTTGCCATCCCCTCGCCATCGTAACCCTCATCGGCGACATCCCCGACATCCCCGCAACCGCCGCTCGCCACCAATTCGTTGCGTAATTCAGTGGACCCCGTTCGGCTTATCACCACCCAAAGAGCCGATACAGTGAGCGGCGTCCATCATTCATTCGGGCCAAAACTACCGACGCCTGTGCAATCCGTATCACACACTCTCTCTGGCAGTGGAGGCGTCCGGAGTTGTGTGTGTGCTGCGGGGAAGTTCACACCAACAAACCGCGGGTGGAATCCCGGCCGAGCGATAACGGCATTGCGGGGTTGTTTCTCCAACGTGTTGGAGACTGCCCGAATTATTTGATAATGAACTCCAACTTCCCATCCTCTTTCTAAACGACATATTTCGGTAACATTATTAACGTTGTATTTTCTTCCCTTTCGTTGTAGATTCGGCTTGCGGACACCGATACTTCGATCACAAACGTGAACGGCCCGAACCGTGGATAGCTCTTCAACCGGAACACAAACCCCGCGCCGTGACTCGGACTGTCATCGTTTCAATCTGAACACATCCCGATCCCGGTCTACCAGAAGCACTCACATCACACTCAAGTCAAGATGGCAACCGAACCATACCGCCTCACAGCCACTGAGGTCCGCGCCAAGATCCAGGCCGGCGAGCTAACCGTCGAAGCCTACGCGCGCTCCCTCCTCGCCCACATCGAGAAGCGCGACCCCATCGTGAAGGCGTGGGAGTACCTCGACCCGGAGCAAGTCATCGCGCAGGCCAAGAAACTCGATGCAATCCCAAAAGACCAGCGCGGGCCCCTCCACGGCGTCGCGGTCGCGGTCAAGGATGTCATCTACACCAAAGGCAAGCCCACTCCGTCCTCATCCTCACGGAACAGCTTCTGACCTCGCCGCAGACATGCCCACCCAACACGGCTCAGTCCTCTACAAAGACTCCTCTCCCCAAGTCGACGCCGCCTCCATCATCGTCCTCCGCAACGCCGGCGCCCTCCTTCTCGGTACCTTTCCTTCCCCCTACCTCCCTCACCCATCCCCATCTAACCCTCCCAGGCAAAACAACCACAACAGAATTCGCCGCCACAGTCGCCGGCCCCAAAACAATAAACCCCCACACCGCCTCCCCCTCCTCCAAGATCCGCACCCCAGGCGGCTCCTCCTCCGGCTCCGGCGCCGCCGTCGCCGACTTCCAAGCCCCGCTCGCCCTCGGCACGCAAACCGGCGGTAGCACAATCCGCCCGGCCTCCTTCAACGGCATCTACGCGCTTAAGCCCACGTGGAACGCCATCTCGCGCGAGGGCCAGAAGATCTACTCGCTCATCCTCGACACGCTCGGCCTCTTCGCGCGGAGCGTCGAGGACCTGCAGCTGCTCGCGGACGTCTTCGCTCTCGCCGACGACGAGCCACCCACGGAAACCTTCGAGGTTAATGGCGCAAAGATTGCGTTTTTGAAGACGATGGTCTGGCCGCACGTCGGGCCCGGCACGGAAGCCGCGCTGGGGAAGGCGGTGGAGCTGCTGAAGGCGCACGGGGCGGAGGTGCAGGAGATCGAGTTCGCGGCGGAGCTGGAGGGGCTGCCGGAGTGGCATGCCACAGTCCTCCACAGCGAGGGACGCGTGAACTTTCTGCCGGAGTACCGCGTCGGCAAGGAGGAGTTACATGAGTTTCTAGTCGGACACGTAGATAATGTGAACAAGATCTCGCGGGCGGCGCAGTTAGAGGCGTTTGACAATATTGGCGCCGCGAGGCCCAAGGTTGATAAGATGCTGGGGGCGTATGATGCTGTGCTGGTGCCGAGTGCGGTTGACGAGGCGCCGGAGGGGTTGGGGAGTACGGGGAGTGCTGCGTTTAATGCGCCCTGGACGGTGAGTATTTGTTTCGCGTGGTTAGTGGGGATGTTTTCGCTGACGAGGAGCAGGCTCTGCATGTTCCGGTCGTTAACCTCATTGGGTTCGGAGGACCGAATGGCATGCCTGTGGGCGTTTCGTTGGTGGCTCCGCGATATCATGATAGACAGCTTCTGTCTGTGGCAAAGGCTGTTGGCAAGATTTTCGAGGCGGAGGGCGGGTGGAAGTCGCAGTTATAGATCAAAGACAGTGAATAGAATCGCAGTAGCGCAGTATCATTACACTCAGTAGGGTATAACATCTATCTATAACAAAGGACCGTCCCAAACAATGCCATTCCATATGATGCAATCCCAGGCTTTTCCCATCCTTGCCACATATCATGCAGCGTCATGTGTCATTACCGTCATTCGAAACCCCTAGAGCTTAAGCCCACTTGCCCAGCACACTCATGATGATCATGCCAGCAACCAGGCCGAGACCAGCCAGGATGGTGACGATGGGGCTGGTGTGAAGCAGCTCTGCGTGCCCGTGCATCCAGTCCTCGGCCCACATCTCCACGACACCGACCCAGACAAGAATACCAGCAGACAGAGCGTCGAGAGTACCAATGGCGATGATGGTGTTGCGGTCGTTACCGTTGAACTGCTGGAGGACGCCGATACCAATGGCCATGCCGATGGGGGTGACGAGCGCGAAAGGGGTGGCGAGGATAAGCTTCTTGACGAGAGAGAAGGTCGGGGCCTTGAGGGAGTTGAGGCTGTCGGGGGCGGAGGAGGTTTGTTCGACTTCGACAGCGGCGGGGCGGTCGTTCTTCTCCACGGGGGAGGCAGTGCCGAGCTGGGCGATGCGAGTGCCGAGCGCGATACCCTCAAACATCTGGTGGAAGAGGATGACGACGAAGAGGGTGATGAAAAACGTGTCACCGGCGACGACCAGAGTAATGCCAATAACTGGACGATGTTAGCTGAAGCTCATGATGGAATACAGGATTGCCTTACGGATGGAGTGAAAGATGATACCGCACTCGAGGACGAGAACGGTGACAGTTTCGGGAGAGAAGCGAGTTGCGGAGGTCGGGTTAGCAGCAACCTTGGCCATAACGAGGCGCTTGCCGAGATACTCGACCAGGAAGGAGAGGAAGATGCCGGCCATGACAATGGCGGATGTGGTACCCTCGTATCCAAGCTCTCCCAGACACTCGTTGGCGAACATGAGTTGCGCGTGAGTGTACAGATGGATAAAGGCAGTGGAGATGATGATACCAGTGCCAAACTGCTTGAGGATGAGGAAGATGGTGTGTGTCTTGGTCGGCATCCACTTGATCATGAAGATCGGGAAGTAAACACCAAAAGCGCTGGTGACCAAGATGACGAAGAGAAGGCCGACGCGGAGAGGGATGTTGTAGTCGCGGGCGACCTTGGCGCAGTTTCTCGTGCCGCTGCTGCTCTCACTCTCGCCGGCTCCGACGCAGTGCTCAACACCGGCGTGGAAGTGGCAGTTCTCGCCCTGGGGAGTTTCGCTGTCGCTGCCACTGCCCGAGTCGGAAGACTCGGCACCCTCCGCTACGATCTCAACGTCGTCGCCGTTGGGAGCCATGCAGTAAGTGTCGGTGCCGTGTGCGTGGCAGTCTGTGAATGCAGTCGGGATGGCGGAAGCGGCGGTGTTAGTGGGCGTCGTCATGACCTGGTACTCGGAGGTACCCCACATGCAGAAACTGAGGCTGTTAGCGATGCTGTTTTCAAGATGGAAGGTAGTCGACATACACAGTGACTCCATGGAGATGGCAGTCAGAGACTGCAGTTGGCATACCAGTTGCGGCGGCAGCAGTCGTGGTCGCGGCAGTAGCAGCCGGGGCGTTGGCAGCCTCGACGAGAACCTCGCCATCGGGGTAGAAGCAGTATCTGGATCAAATGTGAGAACGTTGAGCGACGTGCTAATGATGACGGCACCTACGTGTCGGTCGCATGCTTGTGGCAGCCAGTGTAGGAGCTGGGCAGCGCGCCGGTAGGGGTTTCCGCGATGATGTACTCTGTGGTCCCAACCTTGCAGATCCTGTTGAATGTTAGATGCTGGCCATGGTATACGTGAAGTATTCTGGCATCAACTCACTGGGTAGATGAGGTGACGGCGCAGTCTGAGATGGCCGAAGGGGCGGACGCCGCCGTGGTGGTCGCGGCGGCGGTGGTACTCGCAGCCGTCTGTCGTGCGACTAGGGAGGCGGCAGCGGTGCTCAGAAGAGCCGCAAGGGCGGCAGCGGAGAATTTGGCCATGGCGATGGGCTTGAGACAGAACACAAGCTGTGATACGGGCCGGGTCCGAGTTGACGTGCCTGGAGCTGTTCAGGTCCGGGGCTGAGATATGCTGCAGAAGTCTCGGACAGGCGGCTGATCGGATGGTTCGCGGCCGGGTGCTTTATGGGAAGGAGGTCGGGATAGAGGTGGCCGGGGTGAAGCAGTGTTGGTTCCAAGCCGCGCTGGGAATGGGCACCTTGAGAGACGGCAGGTCGAGTGACTGGTTGACCGAAGCAGGATGTGACGGGGGATCAGGCAACAAGAAGTCTCAGAGCCGCGGGATGATTCCTCGAGAGGGTAGGGCGTAGGGTGAGAAGAGAGGAAGGATTGGACGAGGGACGTCTGGCGAGGGAGATTTCGGAGGGAGGTGTGGACGAGAGCGGCGAAAAAGCGACGATGAGCAGATTTGACGGTGGCCGAGAATGGCGAATGGGTCGTCGCTGTTTGGTACCTGTCGACTGCCTGTCTGACTTGATGGCAGCCCTTGGACAAATCGGCCATTGTCCTGCCGCTGAGGATTCCCCTCCCTCTGTCCCTATCCCAAGTCAATCAAAAGGCACATGCTCCCCTCTGGCAAAAGCAGTAAAGCCTCCGAGAAATGCTTGCTAGTTTCCATTGTGCCGTACCCACGAAGCAAGGGCCACGGGTGCCGCCAAACGGACGACATGTTTTTCGTTCCCGCATGTTCTGCGTGGACTTTCAGCTGCGAGTAACAGCGCGCCAATCAAGGCCGACGCGATTTCGGGCTGGCAGTGAATGCAGTCCACCCCCAAGCCGGGAATCCATGTCGCTGGGCCGGGAAACGAGGGGCGGCGGTGGAAACGCGATGGAAAATGTGGGAAAGATGAAAAAAGGCAAAAGAGCAAAAAACAACGTAGTCCCAATGCCAAGGCTGATGCCAAGGCTGAGACCCGTTGCCAAGTTTGCGCACCCGGATGGCCGCCATGGGTCGGCAAGACCACTGTGAGGGCAGGTGCACGCGGGAAGTCGCGATGTCTCTGGTCTGGAGTCGCTCTTTCCCACCTTCACAAGTGGTGGGTTCAGCTGATTGGCTGCAGGAACGACCCGACGAACCAGGATGCAGCAGCCGAGAATCCACATTAGCGGGTTGGCCAATGAGAAGAGCCACATCTACGTCAAGAGTGAGGACCTTGATGGCTTCGTCCTGACCGCAACCGCCTTCAACCACTCTTCCTTCCCATTCTTCTCATTCTTCTTCCCCTCTGCTCAGGTCTTTTGTTGCGTTGTTTTCTGGCATCGACCTTGATGGCCTACAGCTGCATGCCAAGAATACTAATAGGCAGGCGCTGTCCAGGAAAAATTCAGTCTGCTCCTCAATTCTCAGCTCACTGGTCGTCAACCAACACTGCCAAGACAAGCGGTGCACCCACCCGCCCGAATCCAACCTCGCGGTTCGCCATTTCCAACGCCAGCTTGACTTTCCGCATGAGGTTGCAATATTCCTTCGTATCCTGCGAGAAATCGGGCGTGACACATCAGACATGTTGGCCGTATAGGGGAAGCATCTGCTGATGACGAGTGAGACAGATCTCCACATTTGAAGACCGACGAGCCAGCAAGGTGAGATTTACGTGTTGTACCTCGGCCTGCCTGTTGCAGGGAATTGCACCTGGGATCTGATCCATATTGCCTCCATGATACTGGAATTTCCTGTGAAGACTCCATGACAATTATCATGGCCACCACCCAGAGACGGGTATCTGCAAGCCACAACCGGATGGCGTTCCCCGGAAGGTGCATCATGAACCTTCAGCAACGGTTACCAGCAGTTCATGTGCCATTGCAGCGTGTCACGATAGACTTCTCGCCTGTCTGGAGCTAAACCAAGTCCCCGGGTCATGCAGTCTGTGTTCAAAGTGCGTGCGTTAAGCCGGTAGGGTCACCTTGCTCAAATTAGATGAGATTGTTCACTACTAGCATCACATTTACCCGCAAGCAAGCTTTCAGCAAGTAGAGCCTCATGATGATTTCAATGATTCTCATTGATTCTATGTTACAATATTATCAGTCCCCTTCTGGAGACGAAAAAGAAACGTAAAAACGCCAGAGGCGAGTAGAAGCAAAGGTAATGATCCCCCATTTTTTGATATCCCAGTATGCCATGCCCCAATGCCCCTCATTCCCAAATCATGTCCATGAGTCCCGTAATTAGGTGAATCTTCGTCTTTCATCATTGGCTTAGATAGCCATGAGAGCAGCAGCAATGGCAGCAGCACCGAAGCCGACGCGGGCAGCACCGGCAGGGACGTCGGTAGAGGTGGCAGCAGCACCGCTGGCGGAAGTGGCGGCGGCGCCGGTGCCGGAGGAGGCAGCGGTGGTGGTCGTGACGGTAGCGTTGCCAGCGCTGGTAGAGGCGGCCTCAGCAGGGCCCTCGCAGTGCCCTATGTGAATGTTAGAATGCATTTCGGAGGTCAACAATGGAGTCAGGGAGGACGAACAGTGATTTGAGTGTGGAACACATCCCACGGACTCCGTGGGAGAGGGAGCAAGAGAACCGGTGCCGGAGGCGTGGTCATGATCATCATCGTGGTCGTGGTCCTCAGTGGCAGTGGTGGTGGCGGCAACAGCGGTGCTCAAGGTGGAGGCAGCGCCAGCAGCACCGGTGGTTGAGCGGGCACCTTCGCAATGCTGCAAACGATGGTCAGCATATCGCAAAAGCCATTTGACGAGTAAAGGATGCAAACCCAGTGGTCCAAATGTGCTTCGCACAGGTAACTCTCAGTTGGAGAGGGAGCAAGCGAGTAGCTCGTGCTCTGAGCCATGGCGAAGGCAGAGAAGCCGAGGATGGCGAGGATCTGAGAAGTCTTCATTTTGACGGTGTTGTGGTGATGAACTTCGCGATTGATGTGTCTTGAGGAAACTTCGGGAGTTTGTGATTAACGAGTGGAAGAACGTTAGCCGTGGGTGAGAATCCAAAATAAAATAAGAGCTGAAGATGAGAGTCGGTGGCAGGATATATACCGAAGGTCGGGCCAGTGACGCGCCGAGCCAACAATGCGGAAAAAGCAGCAGGCGCAATAATCCGAGCAAATAGCCAGGGCTACAAAGCTACCTTGCGTCTTGGCAAGAGAAAACAGAATTACGCAGGATCTCATTCACCGAATCCAAAGGAACCACTCCTCCCATCTTTCAGCTCGCCAAGACATCGCAACGTGCTCACCCTCCACCGTCAACTTGGCAGACGCCAAAAGTGCCCTGCCCACCAACAATCGGAGAGGGAAACAAACCAGGCAAGAACAGACAAGGGCTCCCTCGCCTTGCCCCGCGGCCAGGTTCCGTTTGTTTTTTCACGCCGGAAGCTGATCCATGCCGGGGGTTGGGTTAGGTGTTGCGTGAAGTGGCTTGATTAATCTAGCTACGAGCGCTAGGCGCAGCTGGCTATAAAGTGGTGTGGCCGATCCCTTATATAAAAGCGGGATTTAAGCTAGGATTTAGGCCTTAGGCTTAGGCTTAGCTAACTACTATCTTATACCCCCTTTTTAGCTAATACTTCTAGTACTCTAAGTAAAGCTATTCTTATTCTAAAGTAGTAATCTAATTAATTATATAGTAGTTTTATATTATTCTTATTTCTATATATTATTCTTACTTTTTTATATTATTATTATTATTTTATTTTAATTTTAAAATACTTTCTAACTTTTTTTAGCTTTTATATAGCTAATTAACGTTATAACTACTATTTAGGTTATCTCTATAAAGATAATTAGATAGCTACTTAATATAATTAGTATTATTTTTTACTTTTAATTTAAATTAAGTTTCTAAACTAATAACTTAGAGGTTTACTATTTAAAACCTCTTTATAAAGTTAACTTTTAACCTAAATAAGTTTAAAAACTATTTACTTTAGTTTAATTTTAGATCTTATATTCTAAATAGTTCTCTTTTATTAAAAGTAGTAATTCTTAAATAGTTAATTAGCTTTATAAAACCTTATTACTATTCTTTTAATCTATTAATTAAGTTTAGTTAAGTATTAAATATAATAGTTTATAATTAATAATACCTTAAAGATTAATTTTCTTATAATATTTTTAAAACTTAATTAATTAATTTTTTACTCTTTTAAACTTTAAATTTATATTAATTTTATTTAAGTTTAAAGTTAATTAACTTTTTATTAGTTAAACTTAGTATAATTATAACTTAAGGAAATATTAACTAAAATATCTAACTTAATAATAAACTTATAACTTAGTAAAGTTAAAATCTTTAATTACTTTCTAAGCCTTTATTATTAAATAACTTCTTATATAGAAGACTTTTATAGTTAGTAATTTAACTATTAAATAGAGCAAATTAAGGTAATTAAAATAATATAAAGTTTAACTATAAAAATTAATTAGTTAGTGAGATATAAAGGAATAAAGTTATTATATATAAAAGAAATAAATAAATAAAAAGGACTTAATTAAGATTAATTCCTAAGATATTATCCTTAAATTAAGACTTATTATTAGCTATAAGTAGTTTTAATAAACTTAATATTCTAATAAAATTATAATACTTCTCTACTACTAATAGTTTAGTAAAGCTATTAGTAACTATTTTATAGGTTAGAATATAGTTAATTTTAAAATCTCTATTACTAATATTATTAATAATTTAGTAATACTTAATCTTAATATAGCGTAGTTTAGGTAACTATTTACTTAATAGATAATTATTAAAAGTATTTATAAAATCTATATATATTTAGAGGAATAATTAAATAGAGATATTTATCCTTTAAAAAAGATCTATAATATATAGTAAAGCTTTCCCTCTAAGTATTAAATTTATCTACTTAGCTTTATAAGTTAATATAGCTATAAATAATTATAATACTAATTTCTAAGTAATTAATACTCCTCTATATATAACTATATAACTAGCTATTAACTTACTTATTCTTTTATAATTAAACTAGCTAATATTATAAAAAGCTAATAACTTAAGGTTATTAATAAAATAACTTAAGCTACTAAAGTAGAGTATTAGTTATTATAAGCTATAGAGATATCTTTATATTAATCTTAGTAATTTATTATACTTTTTAGAAGTATATTATTAATCTCTAATAGCTTTACTTATAGGTATTATAATATCTAATTATATATTATTTATAATTTATTATAACTTACTTAGATTACTTTAATATTTATATATCTTAGTAAGCGTTTTATATTATTCTATAATCTCTAGTAGCTAAGTATTACTAGGGAGGTAAAGTATTTAGTTATATCTAATAATACCTTTCTCTATTAATATATTATTAATATATTTAGTTTATAAGATCTAAAGTTATCTTATTTTATAGTAGTAAATAATCTTAAACTTAAGAAATTATTATACTTTACTTAAATCCTTAATTTAAAAGAAGTTATATAAGTTATCTTTAAAGTTATTAATTTACTTAATATTAAGTATAGTAATAAATATATTATTAATATAAAATAATATTATAATACTATCTTTATTAATAAAAATATAAAGTTCTTTTAGTAGTAGTTTAAACCCTAATTATTTAAGGATAGTAATAATTTATTTATATTAGAGAAGAAGAGATTCTCTTAGTTTATAGAGAGCTTTTTTTAATTTATAGAACTAGTTAGATCTATTATTAAATTTATAAGGTTAAGTAATAAAGATATCTTAATCTCTTATAAAGGTATTTAGGAAAGCTATAACTATATTAACTTAGTAAAGTTTTAGATTTTTAAGTATTATAATTAATAAAAAGACTTATAAAGTAATAAGATTAGTAATAATAATATAAACTATCTTATTATTTTTATTTTAAAAATTACTATAAATAACTTATTTTACTCTAACTTTATTAAGTCTTCTATTTATAATAATTTTTTTATTATATATTTATTTACTTAAGAGATATTTAAAGCTATTTAGAAGCTTTTTAAATTACTAATAATCTATTCCCTATAAGCTATTAACTTAAGTCTTTATAATATTAAAGATAGTTAACTTTAGAGGTCTCTCTTTTATTACCTCTTATTTCCTAAAAGTTATAAGTAAGTAAATCTCTAAGCTAAAAACTTATAATAAATTAGATATTAAAAAAGTAAAAGTAATTAGTTTTTAGTTTATTTTATTATTAATTAAGTTAATCTTTATAGCTTCTATCTTACTAAATTCTCTATTAAACTTCTTTATATTATATAGTATTTAGGTTTTAAGTATCTAAGTTATTTAACTAAAAGAAGAAGTAGTTACTCTTAGTAATCTTATAAGGATAAAACCTCTATTACTACCTCTTAGTCTTCTTTTTAGTTTTCTTTATATTAGTTGAGGTATTTAAAGGGAAATAATAGGGGATCTTAGCTATAATAATATAATAAGGGAACTTTATTATTAGTAAGAGATAATAAGAGAACTTTAATTTAGAAGAGTAGTAAGAGAATATTAATATAAAAGAGAATCTTCTTTTAATATTAATTATACCTATATATTTATAATACTAATATCTTATATTAGTATATATAGTTTTAAATCTAAGGTTAGTAAACTACCCCCCTTTCTACTAACTTCTTCTTATTCTTAAGGAAGCTTATTTTCCTATTTTTATTTATTATTACTCTCTAATTCTTAGGTATCTTTTAAGTATAAATTATCTTCTTCCCCTTATAGTTATTCTTATTTAGTAGAATAAATATAATAATATAACTTTATATTTAAGTTATAAAGCTAAGATTTAGTTTTATAAGTTATAGTTAGTAGTTTATTATTATATTTATAAGTTTTTAGCTTAACCTCTTTTTTTAGCTATAAGTTATTAAATTTAACTAAGGGGAGCTCTCTTTTATCTTCTTTAAATATTATATCCCTTACTTACTAAATACTATTAGTTCTTTTAATAAGAATATAGAAGATATTATTATAGAAGCTATTATATTTTATAAATCTTCTAAGTTTAGCTTTAAGCTTTATTTTCTATTTTTTTATATATAGATAGCTATCTAGGTAAATATAGATATAAGCTTAGTAGCTTTAATAGTAGAGATAGTATATATATAGTTTTCTTATAGTAGGAGATATATTAAAAATATTTATTAATTTCTTATAAAGATTAATATTACTTTTATTATTAGATAATAAATTACTAATTTTAATAGAAATCTTTATTAACTAAAGCTAGAAAGATTTAAAAAAACTAGCTTTTATATATATTATTTATATTTTCTACTATATAGCTTTATTAGAACTTTTTACTTCCTTATTTTACTAATAATAGTTTAAAGCTATTATTTCTAAATAGAAGCCTTATTCTTAAGTAAAAAGCTTTATTACTTTAAGAAGAGCTATATTATTATCTATAATAACCTTAAAAAAGTGAATAATATTATTTATTACTATAATTTTTTTTAGAAACTAACTTTATAGCTAAATAGCTATATCTTTCTTTAATTTAAATATTTAGAACTATCTATAAGTTAAAAAAGCTTTTATAATATAGAAACTATAAGTAACACCTCTAAAGCTTTATAGTATTAATTCTAAGAAATTAATCTAAAGCTTCTAAAAAGCTTAAGTTAGTTATTTTTATTATTTATTATTAATATATTATATTAACTTTACTATAAAGTAGATATAATATTTATATTCTATAAAAGATACTCTAAAGAGGTTTATATTAATATCTCTTATAGTAATAATAGTTACTTCTCTAGATAAATACTTTAAATAAATATAAAAAGTTTAGTAATCTAATTTAAAAGAACTAAATTTATTACTTTAGTTAGAGGGATAGATCTAAAACTAAAGGATTTATATATTTTATTTAAAGTTAATAATAGCTTTAGATATATCT